AATCTTCTACAAAACTCAGTGGTTTTACAGCGAATTGGAGTCTGTAACCTTTCTCTATTGTGGATAGAATCCACGGAGATACTGCGCATGCGCACCAGCTCTCTGCTCGCACAGCAAGTGTGCTCCGCTCCCCTTCGCTCACTGGTGTTGCGGTGGCGAAAAATGGCATTGCAACTCCAGTGGGGAATGTTTTGGTTTCGTTTTCATAATTTTTGTTGTTGTTTTTATATTCTTCCCCGCCCTTGGCCCTTGGCCTGGATGCGTGAGAGTTTCTTTTATTTTTACACCTTCTTTGCTCGTGTAAACATTCTCCTCTGCCCTCAACATTAACCCCGTGGGTGGAGGGAGGGGAATAATTGCAGGGAGTACTCCAGGAACTTGTAGCACTGACCCCTGTACAACTGTGAGTGAACCTGCTGAACTGGCCCTTAAAACACCTGAACTTGGACCGTCTACAGTTAACAACTTTCTCCGTTTCCCCGGGGGCGGCAGAAAAGTGTTGAACTCTGAGGGGGGTGGAGTAGAAAACCCCAGGTGCTGTTTCCTGTCCCCCTGTGTTAAACAGTCCTGACCCTAGGTCGCTCGTCTCTTTTTGCCCCCTTGAGGGTTAGAAGGACGATGCTTTGCTGCAGCCGCAGCATAAGACTGTTTGCCCTTAGCCTGAGCCGGCCTTGGCTGTGCTGACACATTAGCCAGATGCTGGGGTGGTGGGGGGCGATTACCACGATAGTTTGTGTATCCCCCTCTTGACTGTGACATGGAACTCACGCGAGCAGGCTGATAAGGTCTGACTGGTGGTTTCCTTGGCAGGCAGGTTTCGAACGCCTCTCCCTCCTTCTTTCTCAAGTCACACTGTTGGCGCATGGCTGTGACAGTTGAGCCAAACAGTGCCTTGGGATCTACGGGGGCGTCCATAAATTCCACTTTTTCCTTTTTTGAAAGGCCTGAGAGACTGAGCCACAACATTCAGATTGGCTATCACACAGATCTCCTCCCAAAGGGCTGGGTTCGGAGAGCCTGCGTCCACCTGACGGCCCATCTCCTCCAACAGCTCCCCCTGGTATGCTGTCAGGAGATATGTCACATTAAGGGCCCTGACGGCCAGAGCAGAGGATTTATATATCTTTTGGAAAGCCGAGGCTGAAAACCGCTCCGTTTTCCCAGGCAGTGTGGCGCCCGCAGACGAAAACGCTGCCCTGTGTCCTGGATGCAAGTGGTTGGCTACTGAAAGCTCCACCTGTGGGGGGTCAGCTAACCCCAGCTCCCCCATATCCTGAATGTCCAGTCGTGCAAAACCCTTAACAGGCACACGGTGGGAAAATGGTTTGTCCCAGTGTCTTTTCATCTCCGCCATGCATGCCGGGACAGCCGGGATGAACTGTCTAACTGGTGCGAGGCGTGATGGCAATCTCTTACCATCGTAGAGATCCCTCTCTGCCCCTTGACCCACCTGCTGAGAGGGCCAGTCAATGGAAAGCTTGGCCGCAGCCCTACGGCAAACTTCCAATAAGTCTAAATCCACAGCAGAGGAAGAGGGGGGCTCCCCGCTCTGGCTGCTTGGTGGACGAGATGTATTAGGAAGGAGGATAGCATCCTCCTCCTCCTCTTCATCATCCTCCAGAAGATGGGGGGATAATTCCTCATCATCATCGTCATCCTCTCCTGTCACACCAGCAAGGGCATCACCGAAGAGAGGGGGCAGGTCAGGAGCCTGCACATCCATGATATCACCCCAGGTACTAGGCTCTTGTGGCTGCTTAGCTGTCTCCTCTCTGCAGCAATATAAGATTTACCGCGTTTGCAACGTCACCGGTCGGCTTCGTCCGTAAACAGTTGGAACGGTAAATCCAATAATGCGTCAGTTGAGTACAGCTTCCACAATCTTCATGGGGAAGAAAGCGAGAATGACGCAGCAGCGGGCTGCGGTGGGTTATATACCAGGGAGGCGGGACTCCCTGATCGCTGCAGCGATTGGTCTGTCAGTCTGACAGACGTGGTGTAATTGGTGCTTCCGTAGTCGGTCGCGCCTGAGGCGTTCCCATAGTGAGATACCGAACGGATGTTAGAAAGAGAACAAACGGTGGGAAAATGGTTTGTCCCAGTGTCTTTTCATCTCCGCCATGCATGCCGGGACAGCCGGGATGAACTGTCTAACTGGTGCGAGGCGTGATGGCAATCTCTTACCATCGTAGAGATCCCTCTCTGCCCCTTGACCCACCTGCTGAGAGGGCCAGTCAATGGAAAGCTTGGCCGCAGCCCTACGGCAAACTTCCAATAAGTCTAACTCCACAGCAGAGGAAGAGGGTGGCTCCCCACTCTGGCTGCTTGGTGGACGAGATGTATTAGGAGGGAGGATAGCATCCTCCTCCTCCTCTTCATCATCCTCCAGAAGATGGGGGGATAATTCCTCATCATCATCGTCATCCTCTCCTGTCACCCCCGCAAGGGCATCACCGAAGAGGGGGGGCAGGTCAGGAGCCTGCACATCCATGATATCACCCCAGGTACTAGGCTCTGGCAGCTGCTTAGCTGTCTCCTCTCTGGGCTGAGTCTGAGAGGAGAAGCATGGGTCCTGGTTTCCTGCTATCGCAACCCTGAGTCTCCTCTCACGGGTTTTTTCAGGAAAACTAGCACAAATAGAGCAGCCCTCTGGGGTAGATATCATATCACAGCTTGGATGTGCTTAACACCTAAGCATGCTATGCAGAAAGGATGTGAATCCTTAGCCGAGATCCATAGACCGCACGAGCACATGCGAGGGGGAGCATCTTTCCCCCTGAGCTCTCTGCCTTTCTAGCCGTGGCCATAACTCTTTTCACTCTCTTCGTTAGGTAAACTCTCACCGTGACGTGTAGGTTGACCCTCCGGAGCAGTGGTATGCAGAGTTATTTTATTTGAATAAATCTCATCTTTCCCTGTATCCAACACGAACTGAATCGTATTCGATCGGAAAACAGGCTGTTTATTCCCGAGAGTGGAAAAACTCGCCTTGATGCGGACGTTTTTCCCCTCGGCACGAGAGAGATACCCAGCTAACAGCAATATAAGATTTACCGCGTTTGCAACGTCACCGGTCGGCTTCGTCCGTAAACAGTTGGAACGGTAAATCCAATAATGCGTCAGTTGAGTACAGCTTCCACAATCTTCATGGGGAAGAAAGCGAGAATGACGCAGCAGCGGGCTGCGGTGGGTTATATACCAGGGAGGCGGGACTCCCTGATCGCTGCAGCGATTGGTCTGTCAGTCTGACAGACGTGGTGTAATTGGTGCTTCCGTAGTCGGTCGCGCCTGAGGCGTTCCCATAGTGAGATACCGAACGGATGTTAGAAAGAGAACAATGAGATCTTTATAGCAGTATAACAGGCTACTCACATAAAATATATATACTTTAGACATCAGTTGTCACTCTATATCCTCCAATAATATGTCTTATTAAGATGATATTTAAATGCCCCAAAAAATTTTGGGGGGCAAAACATGTAATGCAATGCAATACAAAGATGACTGATGACTTTGATACTTAAGGTGATGATACACGGGCAACTTTTTTGAGCAGTGTTGCTTGGGCACTTTCCCATTGAGGATGGGCAACAAATATCTATCTGTGTACTTTAGATCGGTCGTGGGCCCTGTGTCTCCCCTGGTTGCCCGTTGACGGCAGCATTGACCAGCAACATTCTTATTCTTACGTTTACTTCATAAAAATCAGTCAAGATTTCGCAGCAAGAAGACATGTGTACCATGACCTGAAGATAGACATTTTAGAATTATATTAAACAGTCTTTTATATTTACATTTTTATCAAATTCTATAAAAACCAAATTATATGTCTGAACTTCTATCCACATTTATTTATGGCTCTTTATTCTGCCTGTATATCAACATTTTTTTCTATTTTTATTTCTTTGTTTCTATTGAGTCAAAATGGATACTTTAGTTGAAACTTAAGTGTAATATGTGCATTACGAAACCTCTGAGCAATACAGATTTCCTCTGGGCTATCCTAAAGAAAATCATGTCAGATAGTTATATAGTATAACATACTGTACTGTACTATAACATACTGTATCATATTATACTATACTATAAACTGTAGTTATTTTCATGCACAGTGATTGTTATGGGCTAGTGTCAGTGTTTTGTGTGTGTCCCAGCTGGAGCAGGAGCGAGGGGAACAGAAAAGCAGGCACACTCAGATGAGGGAGACAATGATGAGTCTGGAGGAGGAAGTTCAAATACTTGGGCGAAAACTCAATGCCAGTGAGGAAGAACTCAACCACCTCACAAATGAGTGCAGCAGCCGCAGGTACACCAGCAATCAAAAACAACAAGATGTGTCCATATTTCAAAGCTGAAAGTTTTTAGTTTAATACTTTCATTGTTCATTTCTTTTTGTGTGTGTGTATACCAGACTCACAAATAATCAGTTGGAAATCTCTCTGAGTGAGAATCAGCGAAGACTAACCAGCAGGATTGGAGAGCTACACAACACTCAGGAGAGAAATAAAATGCTGGATGAGAAGAATGGTGAGAAAGCCAGACAGTACCTTTAATCTGTGCTGTTATTAATCAGTAGATATCTCAGGTGAAATTATGCCAGAGCTATGGGAAGAACAAAAATATACAATACCGTTCAAAAGTTTGGATTTTTTTAGAGAAATTAATACTTTTATTAATCAAGGAAATGCTGTTCTTTTAAACGTTCTATTCATTAAAAAATACTTTAAAAAATGCATCACGGTTTCCACAAAAATATTAAGCTGTTTTCAGTATTGATTATAATAAGAAATGTTTCTTGAGGAACAAATCAGAATATTAGAATGATTTCTGAAGGATCATGTGACACTGAAGACTGGAGTAATGATGCTGAAAAATATTTGATCAAATAAATGATCTTGGTAAGTATAAGAGACTTCTTTTAAAAGCATTATAAAATGTTTCTGAGCCCAAACATTTGAATGGTAGTGTGTTGATGAATGTTTTGAATTAATCAGTCTGACAGGTGCAATAATTTAAAAGAATATAGGTGTATAACTGCATCACTTTTCCTTTGTGTGTTTCAGACTCTCTCCTGAGGCAGGTGACTGCTATGCAAGAGGAGATGAACACACTGCGGGGAACAGTCTCAGAGCTGGACCAGCACAGAGTCTCACTGCAGGAACAACTGGAGAAAAAGACCGATCTGCTCAGCACAGCAGATGACCAGCTAGATGAGAAGGTACTACCTACGTTCACACACTAAAACAAATATTTTTGGTTGTATATTAGAATTGCTTGCTTTCCAGTTAGTTAGTACACTTGGTGATATGTTTTTTTTTAAAGGAGAAAACCATCAGGAGCTTGAAACTGAGAACCAAGGATCTTGAGACAACTCTAATGTAAATTCTCTATTAATTTTTACAGATTAACAAACAGTCATGTGTAGTGATTGTGTAGCGTGTGGTGAATGATTCTTTAAAATTTTACAGAAACTTTACCAAAATTCTGTATAAAATAAAGCTTACTGTATTATTTTCTTTTCCTTACACAGTGTGTTATGTTCACCATCCAGGTATAAGAATAATGCTAATGTTGATGTATCATAATTACACTATAGTATATGGTCATAGTTGTTGTTGACTCTAGCTCATGCTTACTATTTGTAGTGCATTATTACATAGGTCAAGTATTTTCTGGAATACTTGATTCTATTTGGTCACTTTCAGCATTGAAGGGTGAAAGCTTCTCCCTTTCTGGGTTTATTTTGCAACAATAACAAACCGGCTGTACATTATCCCTCACATCTGGGCTCAAAATGTATAATTTCTTAGAACAGTTTTGTGTAGTTTCTCCTTTATATACATGAACGTTTACATGCTTGGGGTCAGTAAGATTTTTGTAATGTTGTTTGAGAAGTCTCTTATACTCACCACGGCTGCATTTGCATTTGACCAAAAAACACAGTAAAAACTGTAATATTGTGAAATATTATTAAAATGTAAAACAACTGTTTTCTATTTTAATACTATTTGTAATGTAATGTATTCCTGTGATGGCAAAACTGAATTTTCAGCATCATTACTCCAGTCTTCAGTGTCACATGATCCTTCAGAAATCATTCTAATATGCTGATTTGCTGCTCAAGAAACATTTCTGTTGAAAACAGTTGTGCTGCTTAATATATCTTTTGTGGAAACATGATACATTTTTCAGGATTCTTTGAGTAGAAAAAGTAGAAAGTTCAAAAGAACAGTATTTATTTAGAAAAAGAAATATTTTGTAACATTATATATGTCTTTACTGTCACTTTTAATCAATTTAATGCATCCTTGTTAAATAAAATTATTAATTTCATTAATTAATTTTGAATGGTAGTGTAGTTTCCTTTGTGTTTGTAATACAGAAATATTTAGAGGATATAAACCAGCATTTGCAGTTTTGAGTACTTGAGTGTATGAGTAGGTGATGTATTAGTATTCATAACATCAGTAACAATAACAATAACATGCTGTATTTCCTCAAATTATTTTTGACTATGATTTATGAGTGACTATGAAAATTAGTGGTGATGATGATGTGACTTCCTGTCTACAGAGCTCTGAGGGAGACCGTAGCTGGCAGAGAAAGAGAGCTGGATTTTCTGAGGAGGAAGCTGTCAGACTCTGAAAACAAGATGGGCACAGCGATGAAAGTCAAAGACGCCACATTGCAAAAGAACGGCCAGCTGAGGGAAGACCTTGACAAAGCACATCTGGAGAATCAGGTACTGTACCAAACTGTTTAATGCAAATTCATTGCAATAAATAATGTAAAAAGACCTCCAACTTTCTATATTTCTTTTCAGACTTTACAGCTCAAGCTGGATGAAGCTAATGAGGAAATAGAAGACTTGCAGAAAAAAGTACAAGTTCACATTGCTGATATCTCACGCACTGAAGATCTGTTGTCTGCTAAGGTGGAGTCATTTAAACTAAAAAGGCTGTTAAAACGGACGACAAGCATGTTCTGTGTAGTGTGTTCTTGATTGTTCTTGTTTGTTGCTCTTTAGGAGCGTGAGTGCAGAGAACTGCAAGAGTCTCAAAGGAAAGCGTCACTTCAGGTGGAAAGCTGGGAGGAGCAGGCCAGACATGCTGAAACCACTGTCATTGAACTCCGTCTTGAGCTTCACAATTCAAACTTAGAGATCCTTCGACTCAAAGAAAGAGCAGACAGCCTAGAGAGCAGCCTGCAACAGGTCACTTGGCCATCATGATGTTGGTATTTGTTAATATGCAGGAGATATCTCAACTCAGCCCAAATGCTCACTACAAGACTGAAGCTCATCAAGTTTTTGAAGCCTCACATTGTAGCAAACCCATAGAGTGTGTCCATAGCTAATGTTCTTCAGACTGCTAGTGCAGTTGGCTTTAGATAACTCAGTCTCTCATAAATTGTGGTTTGTTGCTGTGTCCAGGCACTGAGTGCAGAGCATAGCTGTACTAGCCAGCTGTCTCAGCTTAACCGAAAGATGATTCACATGGAGGAAGTTCTGCGTCAGGCCCAGACTGAGCGCATACAGGTGCAGACCGACCTGGAAAAAACACGAGAGCTCTGCGTCAAACTGGACGCCAGCAAAGAAGCTGTGAGTGCTTAAATTGGTTTATAACAAGTAGATTTTTTGTATATTACCTACTTGATGTCAGGGCAACAAGTATAACTTACGGTGGCCGTGAAGTGCAAAGCAGATCACAATTCTGAAAACAAAATAACAAATTACAAACGCAAATGCAAGTCTAAAAAACAAAATAACAATTCAGAAAGCACAACAACAATTCAGAAAACATTATAACAAGTCAGAAAACACAATGACAAATTCGAAAACAAAATAACATGTCAGAAAACACAACGACAAATCCGAAAACAAATGAACAAGTCAGAAAACACAACGACAAATCAGACAAACCGGAAGAGGTAGGTATAGTTTGAGACAGCGCCATTGGTCTGGGATTACTCACCGCTGACTGGACAAGACATCTGTCAATCAACGTATACAGGGAAGAACCAGCTGAAGAACAGCAGAGTCGTGGTAGAAAGTTCGGAAATGGTATTAAAGTAGCTCAGTTTAAATGTATTGTATGAATTGCCCTTACTATGGAATAAAAAATACGGGGTGTCTATTTACATTTAGTTAAAAGTGGTTATAAATTGTCACTTCTCGGGCACCGTAATAACTGCAGGATTAAAACACACGCTATTCAGCACCATAGACCGAAGCTTTTACCTCAGAAATTTTTGCACCACCAATTTAAAGTTAGCCCTTCAAACATGACCCATGTATGACTCAAACCCACAACCCCCAACTCTAGAGTCTGATGCCTTATCCATTAGGCCTCTTGCGTGATTTTGTTTGCTATTAATTGAGTTTGGATTTTTGTAGAAACATCAGAAGTTTATTTATTTTTTTTAAACTACTGTAGAATTTTTTTCAGCACTTCAAACACAACCCAGGTGGCACTTGATCACAATCCCTAGGGATGGAGTTGATGCCTTATCCATTGAGCGACTGGGTCTCTTGCTTGTTTGGTGTTCGCTATTACTTGATTTTGGCTTTTTGCAGAAACACAATGCACATTACTAGGTGTTTTTTTTTTTAAATAAATTGCCATGTAATTTTTGTAGTATTTCAGACACAACCCAGGTGGGACTCGAACCCACAATTCCCAGCTCCGGAGGCTGATGCCTTATCCATTAGGCCACAGGGTCTCTTGTTGTGCTGGTGTGCGCTATTAATGAATTTTGGCTTTTTGCAGAAACACAATGCACATTACTAGGTGTTTTTAAAAAAAAAAAAAATTGCCATGTTATTTTTGTAGTATTTCAGCCACAACCCAGGTGGGACTCGAACCCACAATTCCCAGCTCCAGAGGCTGATGCCTTATCCATTAGGCCACAGGGTCTCCTGTTGTGCTGGTGTGCGCTATTAATAAATTTTGACTTTTTGCAGAAACACAATGTAAACCATTTGCCATAGAATTTGTGCAGCACTTCAAACACAACCCAGGAGGGACTCGAACCCCCAATTCCCAGCTCCAGCGGGTGACACCTTATCCATTAGGCCACTGGGTCTCTTGCTTCTAATTGATTTTGGCTTTTTGCAGAAAAACAATACACATTAGAAGGTGTTTTTGTTATGTTTTTAAACAAATTGCCAAATAATTTGTGTAGTATTTCAGACGCAACCCAGGTGGGACTCGAACCCAAAATTACCAGCTCCAGAGGCTGATGCCTTATCCATTAGGATGCTGGGTCTCTTGATGTTTTGGTGTTTGCTATTAATTCATTTTGGCTTTTTGCAGAAACAATGCACATTAGAAGGTGGGATTTTTTTTAACAAATTGCCATAGAGTTTGTGTAGCACTTCGAACTCAACCCAGGTGGGACACGAACCCACAATTCCCAGCTCTAGAGACTTATGCCTTATCCATTAGGCCACTTGTTGTTTTGGTGTTAGCTATTAATTAATTTAGCCTTTTTGCAGAAACAGTGCACATTAGAAGTTTTTCTTTTTAAACAAATCACCATAGATCTTGTGTAGCATTTCAGGCGCAACCCAGGTGGGACTCAAACCCACAAAGCCCAGCGCTGGAGGCTGATGCCTTAACCTTTAGGCCACTGGCTTGTTATTTTCGTTATAATTTGAGTTTGTTTTTTTGTAGAAATACGATGAACATTAGAAGTTTTTTTTTTTTAAACAAATTACTGTAGCACTTCAAACACAACCCAAGTGGAACTCAAACCCACAATCCCCAGCTCCAGAAGTTGATGCTTTATCCATTAGGCCACTGGAAATTTGGCACACGACATTTCAGTCATCTCACCCTCAGAACGTCAGCCTAAAAGCATCTGCTAAAGGATTAAATGCCAAAAAAAAAAAAGTAAAGTTTTTAAATTCTGAGCAATTTATGGGAGGAACTTATTTTAAATTAGATATTTAATTTCTTAAATGTTTTAGGGGTTTATGCATTTAACATTGTTTTTATGCGAAAACTAAATTGCCTTTGAGAAAATGAAATATAACGGAAATGTAAATAAATCACATAAAATGTCACATAAAAAGCACAAAATGTCTATGTGCTTATATGTACAGGTGCAGAGTGAGCTGGAATCATGCCACTCTGAGATTGAGCTGTTACAGAAGCAGCTGGCCAGCGAACGTCTGTCTGTTCAGACTTTGGAGAGCCTGCTGGTGTCTTCACGAGAAAAGGAGCTACAGAGGCAGCTCACCTCTCAGGAAAGACAGACCGAAATACAAATTCTCAAGGACAAACTCAGCATGGCTGACAGCAAAGTGTGAGTTTAGCACATACACATATGACATTTCATAGAGCACAGCAGCTGTTTTTGTCTTTCTGTCTTCGTCTTCCACTTACTGTCTTCTTCCCTGTCTCTAGGAGTTCTCAGAGTAGGGAAATGGCTCAACTGAGGACACGATCAACCCAGCTGGAGGCAGATCTTGAGATGACCAAGAGACACCTGGCCACTGAGCGCTTTGAACGGTGAGACACAAACCTTAAAGGGATAGTTCAGCCAAAAATGAAAAATCTCATTTACTCATTCTCATGTTGTTCCAGTTCCAATACTGAATATATTTATTTATGGTTTGAATAGTAAAGACTAAGGATTTGAATATCCTGTCCATGTTTATCAGGGAGCGTGCAGTACAGGAGCTGCGTAGGCAAGGACTCTCAGCTATTTCTCCTGTCCTCTCCTCCACTATGCGCTCCTCATCCACTTCCCGTCGTCACTCTCTGAGTCCTCACAGATCATGGTCTCCAGAACGCTCTCATCACAGCACACCTGACCCACTGCTTGTGCCACATTACCCTGACAGGTGCACGCCAGTCGTAGATTTGTCATTCTAGGTTTAAATGAGTAGAAATTGGAAGTGCTGGTTGCTTTGTTCTGTTTATTTAGTGCATTAATTTGTAATACTTTTTATCTGTTTATTCTTTAACAGGAGTCTGAATTTCAGGGACCTTTATGACTGAGAAGATCTCAATACTCCCATTTTGATGGCATAATTCATTCATTTCATCTCCTTAGGTCTTGGATTCTGAAGACAATCAATAGACTCTGATCTCTGATTTTAATAAATCAAATGTTTACCATGATTTTTACAGTTTTGCTGAAATTGTTTGACATCGACACACAGTAAAGTTGAAAATAGTTTTGAAGTGGTTTGATGATAATGGATTTTTTATATGTTTCGGGCATATTTCTACAAAAATGTGATTCTGCTTGATTCATTTTAATTTAATTTTTGATTTATTTAAAGTGTAGTTTGTGTGTGTGTGTGTGTGTGTGTGTGTGTGTGTGTGGTGTGTGTGTGGCACAAGTTGCCAGTCCTCTTGAATACAAATCTCCATGTTTCTGTGTTGGGATGTGTTTCTCCATACTTTACTCCTAGACTACTTATTTATTAATTAATTTAGTAGTTATTTAGTCATTGATTTCTTATGATGAAATTTCCTTTGTGTGTTTTGATTTTTTTTGTTTTATCCTTATCCTTATCTTTATTTTTGTTTTATTTATTTAGTAATAGTAATCTTCCTCTTTATAATCGCTTAATTGAAAAACATAAATAAATGACAAGCAGAAAAGGAAACGCTAACCAGTGTAATGCTCAATAGAAGAAGCGCGACTTTTAAAAAAAAATTGATTTCCAACATATAATATAAAGGTACTGAACAAATATAAACTACAACAAATAAATAGAAAATATACAGTATAATATAAATAAAAAAAAATAATAATAAAAACTAAACAGAAAAAAGAACCGGTATGAGATCATCATATAAATAACATAAAAGCTTCACAAAGAGACCTAGTGCGTTTTGCTTTACTGTTTTTCAACCCAAGTAGTAACTCAATATAATTTTTCATATCTATCTGAAATAACAAAAAGTTGGGTTTTCCTTTAGCCCATTTCTGTTTATGTATATGGTATTTCCCCATAATCAAACAAAGATGAACAATAAAGGCCACATTTGGTGGTAATCTTTGTCTATTCAAATAAAATAAAAAAACATATTTTTCAGAAAAGTAAATTTTCATGCCTAGGCATTTACAAGGGAAACATTCCAAATCTATCCAAAACATTTAGCTATAAATGCAGTTAAAAAATAAGTGCACAACATTTTCTTTCTCAGTCCCACAGAAATCACATATAACATCTGCATCAGTACGAAATCTAAGAAAAAGAGTTTTAACGGTACACCAGATGGAGTATTTTAAAATGTTCTTCTCTCACCTTATTTGTTATGCAATATTTTTTAGGCAGCAACCATGCATATTTCCAGTCAATGCACTCAAATTTAGAATGCCAGTATGTTTTAGAAGATATTGCATAATAAGGTGAGAAAAAATACATCTTTTTCAGAAAAGTAAACTTTCATGCCTAGGCATTTACAAAGGAAACATTCCAAATCTATCCAAAACATTTAGCTATAAATGCAGTTACAAAATAAGTGCACAACATTTTCTTTCTCAGTTCCACAGAAATCACATATAACATCTACATCAGTACGAAATCTAAGATAAAGAGTTTTAACAGGGTACACCAGATGGAGTATGGAGTACTTCTCTCACCTTATTTGTTATGCAATATTTTTTAGGCAGCAACCATGCATATTTCCAGTCAATGCACTCAAATTTAGAATGCCAGTATGTTTTAGAAGATATTGGGCTGTATTCTGTTAGTAACTTCCTGATAAAGTAATTATTCCATTTTCTATCATTAATAGTAACTCCGTTAATTGCAACATCAGGTCTGAGACTCACAGTCTCCTTATTCACATTTCCTTTAAACAGACATTTTAGTCCGGATGGTATAGCATCAAACACTATACAATATTCTTTAGGGATTATTGGAATATTATACCTTTGAAGAAATTCTATGTAGGTATACAGGTGCCCATTTTCATTAAATAACTGTTTAACAAATATAATACCATTGTCTACCCATTTTTGAAAAAACAAAGTTTTATGTTTAAACATTATATACCTGTTATTCCAAATTATACATTTATTTGGAGAGAAATTATGCTTATATATAAGCATCCATGAGAGTAGCACCTGCTTGTGAAAATTACGTAATCTAACTGGAATCTTACTTATTTCAAAGTTGCATTGCAACAGAAAAGCAACACCAGACATCTTTTCAAAGATTAGATTAGGAATTAAATACCAAATTGTATTTTTATATTGAAAGTAATTATTGATCCATCTATTCTTTAAAATTGCACTTGATGTGCTGAAGTCAAGCACATTTAAGCCTCCATTACCAACCGAATTAGTTAAGGGACCTTTTTTAATGTATGAGATCTATTTCTCCAAATGAAATTGTAAAGATTTTTATCTACTTCTTTAATGATGTTATTAGGGACTTCTAGTGAAATAGCAGGATAGAGCATCTATCTATCTATCTATCTATCTATCTATCTATCTATCTATCTATCTATCTATCTATCTGTCTATCTGCTGCCTGTCTATCTTGTATTATGACATGAAGTTGAATTTAGGCTCTCTTGTATTGTAAAATCCACTTTCAAAGCAATTTTAATTTTATGCCGATGTTTTTCTCTAAGGAGAAGAATGAGTCTATCTATCTATCTATCTATCTATCTATCTATCTGTCTATCTGCTGCCTGTCTATCTTGTATTATGACATGAAGTTGAATTTAGGCTCTCTTGTATTGTAAAATCCACTTTCAAAGCAATTTTAATTTTATGCCGATGTTTTTCTCTAAGGAGAAGAATGAGATAAAACATTTGAGAAGGTAAAGTTGAAGAATAAGGCCACCATCAGATAGAAAATTTGCAAATGTTTGGAAATTTGGAAAGAAATGAGGCTGTCAGAGATTTTAAAAGAAGCTCAATTCCACAGTTCTTCAGCTGATTTTAAGTCTGATTTTGAAATAGGTTTTGAATGAATAACTCTGTGCATCAGGCCCATGTTCACTGTTATTGTATGATGTCATGCAGTTGTTAGGGTAGTGTGTTTAGTTGAAGATAGTAGATGATTATAAGGCACATGGTTACTGTACATGGCAGTGCCCATCAACTTTAATGACTGACATATAACTTTATAATCCAAATGAATAAAATAAATAGGGATGTAGATGTTTCCTACAGTATAATGTATCATATATAACACTATATATCAGCAACCGACAGAGATATTCATTTATAATTTAAGATGCTATATATGTACATACAGTAAAATTCCTTTCATACGGCTGTTTATCCAGGGATTGTGTTGTGATTGATCTCCTACATTTGTATTAAAACAGATGTGGGATGTTTTCTAGGAAGGGAATTCTGTGTCTAGCTCACATTCAGGTGATTGTAATCCAAAGGTCAGTTCGTTTAAGATGAAAGCAATGTTTAGGAGGGGTCGGGTATCTTCCAAACACAGTTAATGTTCAAGCAGATCAACAGTCACTCTCTCTGTTGAGAAGTTAATGTTTGCAGAACAAACAAACTGTCATGAAAAGAAAACAGAGTCATACGGAACTTCAAGGATAAAAGTGAGTGAATAAATCTTACAGATTTTCGTAATGTTTTAGAATTATATTAAAAACACTAGTACAGGAGTGACTACAACAGCAATGGGACGTTTCACTGTTTGTATTCTGCCGCATATCTGTGTTCACGCCATTCCAGTCACAAAACGTACTATGCTGTACTATAATTAATGCCCTACTATGTTATTTTTGTTAACTTTCATAGGCTAGCATCTAACAGGAAAGTTCTCAGAACTTTGGCAAACAAACGTTCTTCTTGTAACATTAACAGAACGTTTGTTCAGAGTTCTCTCTTTTGTATGCTCAAAACTTTAGCACAAAAATGTTATTTCACAACATGATGGAATATTAGGAAAAAGTTCTTAGAACATTTTTGTTAGCTACTTGAGAACGTTCAGAGAACATTCAAAAGTAATGTTCCCATCATGTTTGCAAAATTATAAAATGATTATAAAATTATAACCAAGAAGCAATGTTTTAAAAACGTTTTTACGCTGCATTTTTAAGAATCAGAAATAACGTTTTCATAACTTACTGGAACATTATCAAAACATACTGTTGTTAGCTGGTTATATCCTATTATATGTCTCATATACAACCTGAAAAAAGCGTAACAAAAGTTTGTCAAGGGATTTTAGTGAATGCAGTGAATGTGGCAAAAGCTGTACAGTGATGGGCTCGACGGTGCAGATTGCATTTAATCTTGGTAACGGTACTTGAATTGACGCATTCATAACTGAAGAAAAGAGAAGGTAGGATCTGAAAGAACAAAGCCAGAGAAAGTGCGCCGGAGTGAGAGAGATGGCATTACTGGAGCAGTCTCAGGGTGTTGGCTTACACTAGGTCAAAACAGCTGGTTGCCTGCTACAGTACATAATGTTGTCCCCTTCGTTGGTTGCTCATAGACGATTAATTTAGCATCTTTAGGAGCAGCCTGAAAGGTCGATTAAAACTTGTTGACATTCGCAAGTTGTGTAAGCTGTTGATTCAGAGCTTATTTTTGGAAAGGTCTTCTGGGAAACTCCTCCGCTGTCACCTGCACTGTTTGAACGTAAGCTAACCTGTCTGAGGCAAACAACGTGGAAAGGAAATTGGTGTCACACAAAACGTCTCAGGTTACTTATGTAACCATGGTTCCCTGAGTAGGGAACGAGACACTGCGTCCTCTAGGGGTCGCCTCTATGTCCTCATAAATCAAAACTCATGCTGCCTTCATGTGCTATCGTAAATTTCCTTCTTCCCACTTTTGAAGTCATAATTACACGTTTGTTGTGTTCGAATGCTTTGTTGTCGGAAAGAATAGGAATCATGGAGGATGCCAGGTTCATTCTTGGCTATTTCTTCTGGGAAATCTTATTAAAGCCAAAATGTATTGAACATATTAAGTCAACATCCAATCGATTTTGAATAAAATGTGGAAAAAAGTAGTTAGTTGGCAACCATATAAACATTGCTCACACTATCTAGACACTATCTAGACAGTCCAATAAATGCAGTTTCGCAATGTAAAATACATATGTGTCAAACGGTTATTTATATACGTAACTACGCATGACTTTAACAGCACGAGAAAGCAATGCATATGTTGTGGGAAAAATGAATAAATACAGCAATAGTTCTCTCCTCTGCCAAGTTTCTGGCCTGTCCAATTTAGAAGCTCAGGTATCAAAAATTATATTTTTCCCAGTTTCCCAGTCAGAAATACAACTTGAGAGGCCGTTCATGTACAATTTCCAATTCCAATTGCATGTGAAGGCAGCATTGAAGTCAATATAAATATGTTGAGTGCACTTTGTGGGACTTTATACACACATCTCAGCATTTTGCTTAGTTTTTAAATCAGCATCTGTTTTAGTGCACTCTGGGCCACAGAGATATGCAAATACAAAAAAATGCACCTGGCATGCTCAAACCTTTTCAATGTCAATACTGGAACAGGACAGGAAACACAGCTAATGAACTAAATTACATTTTTAATCAAATTTACCTTGGCCAAGTTATTGGTAAGAATAACCAACTACACAGGGGGTGGGATGTCATTGTTTGTTGGCATGCATCTGGACTTGAAAGAACATTGATGCCAGCCTTTGCCTTTTTAATGAATGCAACATGACATGCCAAAAGTCTGAACAGCAGTACACAACCTCATCCTATTCGTTGGTGATCTGTAGTTGAAAGTGAATGTTTAACTGCATCCCAGAGATGCTTCAGTGAGTTATTATCTGGCAAGCCAGGAGGCCGTTTCAAATAATTAAAATCACTTTATTGTAGAAACATCGTAGGGACAAGAGTAAAAGTGAGTTACTTTTTTGCAATATTGCAGTCATGTAGTGAAATTATAACACAATATACATGTATTGTCTTAAAATGTCACCACAATGTAAGATGTACAGAATATAGAATATATTCACTGTAAACGGTATTTACATAATACACATTATAACATAATAAAAATACAGTATATACTGTGTACAAAATGTACAAGTACTTACCAGTGTAATAGTGAAATGGTTTAAGATTCCGGTTTTTGGCTCTAGGAGGCATTTGTAGCTTGGTAAAAAAGCCATGGCCTTGTTTCAACTCAACCTATTCAAATTATAAACCACTATGAATGCTCTTCCTACAATATGATATTCAGATCATTTTTCATTTCAGAAAATGGAATGAAAATTTTTGGAATTTCATTTTTTTCATGGCAATTATTAAAGCCAACAATCACTTTAATATTTAGGTGAAAAGCCACCTCTCTACTGTAACTATGAACTCTTACAGAGGAAAAAGATGCTTTAGTAAGAGCTTTTACTACAGATCGTTGAGTTTTTAGAGGGACGTTCCTTAAGTTCAAAGAGTTGACCAGGTCAGGAAGGTGTATGCAAATAGACAGAAAATAATTTAAAGGAACAGTTCACCTAAAAATTAAAATTCTGTCATAATTTACTCACCCTCATGTTAGTCCAAACCGGTATGATTTTCCTTCTTCTGTGGAAAGCAAAAGGATCAATTTAGCATTACACTGAGTAACCAATGAGAAGATCCCAGTCAGTTTTACAACATCTAATTTACTGCCCTCACATCCTGTTACTATGAAACTCTTTGTTTCTGCTCTCTCTTTCTTTCGCTCTTTCTCTCTCATAGACTTTCTCTGTCTCTCTTTCCCTAACGCTTCCCGCCATGCTATAATCCCTTCTTAAACTTCATTTGCAGATGTCAGTGATCTAAAACGATCAAGGACTGGAGACCACCACAAAAAAAAAAAAAAAAGCCAAAGAAGAAAACAAAGGAAGCTCTCAGACGTGGAAGATAATTCTGCATCAACTTAAAGCTTCTGGTAAGTTTAGAAGTTTCTATTTAAATTTTTTTGTTCATTTTCATTTTACAACCAAATCAGGAATGTATTTCATTAATAATAAAGTATGAATCCAAATTGGAAATCTGGGAAATTGAAAGGTTTTAGAATTCTGAGAAATTTAAAATGAAGCATGATATATGGACATATTCTGCACTATTTCTTGGTCTTTAAACAAATAAATTTTTCGAATAAACTTTTTACTTAAATTGTTATATTATAGTATATTATATTTATTATATTATAACATATTTTGCAATAAATTGTACAGAAATAAAATAAAATAATAATTCCAATAATTTTACATTTTTAAAAATTGGAGAAATGCAAAATTACGGAAGAGGATTAGGGCCAAACAATAATAAAAAAAAGAAAACCTTCTCGAGATTAAAGTCATTATAATGCGAGATTAAACTCGTTAAATTTCTAGAAAAATGTCGAAATAAAATGTTGAGAATAAAGTCATTAAATTTCGAGAATAAAGTTGTTGTGTTTCGAGAAAAAACTCGTTAAATTTCTAGAAAAAAAGTCGAAATAAAATGTTGAGAATAAACTCATTAAATTACGATAAAAAAGTCGTTGTGTTTCGAGAAAAAACTCTTTAAATTTCTAGAAAAAAGTCTAAAAATGTTGAGAATAAACTCATTAAATTACGATAAACAAGTCGTTGTGTTTCGAGAAAAAACTTGTTAAATTTCAAGAAAAAAGTCTAAATAAAATGTTGAAAATAAACTCATTAAATTGCGATAAAAAAGTCGTGGTTAGAAAAAAACGTGTTAAATTTCAAGAAAAAAGTCTAAATAAAATGTTGAGAATAAACTCATTAAATTACGAGAATAAAATCAAAATAAAATGCTGAGATTCTTTGCTGAGATCAGTGTTAATCAACATCTGCAGTGGTGCAGGTCGTAGAGAGCAATGCTCGTGAATGAAGCGTATGCAGTTGGCCAGAGTTCAAATCTGCTTTTTGCCAAACTCGCTCTTCTTCCTTTTTTTCATCACATATCACATCGGAAAAGTGGAAATCAACTGCCTAACGAGTGTTTAATAATGATTTATTAATTGGGTAGGTTAAGGGGTAGGTAGGCTATAGTAGTGCTGGGCGGTATGACCAAAAATTTATATCACTGTATTTTTCAAAATTAGACCGGTTTTACGGTATATGACGGTGTATTTTTTTTTTTTAATTAGCTATATAGACCAAAATCATTTTTTGAACCAGGCTGTAAACGTTTTTTTCTGCTGTAAAGTTGGGCAATTTAACATGGGGAGTCAATGGCTAGCATGGTTTAGTTGATGATCTAAACTGTGGATGAGATACTGGGAGTGTAATGAATTAAACCGCCAGTAAATGTCAAGGCTGCTGTTCTACAAACACTCTGAAGAATAAATCTGAGAATTGAGGGCATGTGTGTGTGTGGTTAATGAATTCTAAGAGCTTGCACCAGGGCTTGGTTTCCCAGGTTGCAGGTAGACACAATCTAATATTCACCAAAACTCGCGTCACCCTTGTGCATCACTAGGCAACTGGTGCCCGAGTGAACTACCTATTGTCTTCCCTTAGAAGTTACTGTATTTGTATTACAAGAGGCCACTGATTATATCACAACACAAAGTCAATAAAAAGACACAGGAGACGTTTGCACAGTCTGTGGTTTGCAAGTAAGACAAACCCAACAGGATGAAAGCAGATGCTGTTTCATGTTTGCCAATGTAAAATAAAAGAGATCAGCACATGACTCTCTCTCTTTTCATCTACGTCATCAATCTCGTAAGCAATAGTTTGGGTAATGTGACGTAGTAGTGCACATTTACAACTAGGTTATTCACATATACATATACAAGAAGCCTCTTATGCTCACCAAGGCTGGATTTATTTGATAAAAAATTCCAAAGAAACTATAATATTGTGAAATATTATTACAATTTACAATAACGGATTTCTATTTTAATATACTTTATGATACAGTATAATTCACACGATCCTTCAGAAATCATTCTAATATGCTGGTTTATTATCAGTGTTTTGATAATAAACATGACAATTATCAATTGTTTTACATCCTTGCTGAATAAAAATATTAATTTCTTTAAAAAAAAAAAAAGGAAGGAAAAATGCTGTTCTTTTTTAACTTTTTAATTATTGATAATAAATATGATATAATATTAATATTGTATTACATTAATATGAATATTAGAATGATTTCTGAAGGATCATGTGACACTGAACACTGGAGTAATGATGCTGAAAATTCAGTTTTGCGTAACAGGAATAAATTATATTATATTTTAAAGAATAATAAAATAGAAAACCGTTATTTTAAACTTCAATAATATTTCACAATATTACATTTTTCTGAATTTTTGATCAAATAAATGCAGCCTTGATGAGCATAAGAGACTTCTTATATATATATATATATATATATATGCCTATGGCTAAATTCAGAAAAGCAACTAGCTTTAAAACTAGACCTTTAAACTGAAAACAGGAGCAAATCAGCTTGGAACAGGGTTTATCACCTTTGAACACAGGAAATGATGTACTAAAGTGCAAACAGGGTGTATCAGTTACCTGTGATCATCTGATCTTTACTGCTATAAACCCAAGACATGCAGCAAACACTCTTCCACACAAATGAGCAACATTCTGGATAAAGTCTGGTTTTTAATTCCGTTTGTCCAGTCTGCATACACTGAGATTTATACGTTTTCTTTCTTTTTTAAGTGTCTTTGAATGATAGTTATTTTCCCTTCTACTGTAGATCAGCAGATAAAACATGGAATCCAGCTCTGGAGAAATGGACAAAAATGGAGAGGAACTCACAGGTTTGTGAACATTCTTTTGGAATACATTCACATGTTTTCTGTTTAAGGGTTTATTTACATTTACATTTAGTCATTTAGCAGACGCTATTATCCAAAGCGACTTACAAATGAGGACAATGGAAGCAATCAAAATCAACAAAAGAGCAATGATATACAAGTGTCACGTGTATGTTCCTGTTTAGTCCCTGTTTGTCCTTATTTGGTTTGATTCCTGTTTCCTGTTCTTGTTATTAGTTAATCATAGTTCATTCTGTTCACCTGTTTTGTTTCATTATCCCTTTTGTCTCCACTCCATTTAAGCCCTGTGTTCTTCTGAGTTTCTTTGTCTGGAATTGTTCATGTCAACCTTGCTACGTGTGTTTTCCTGTTTCCTTTTGATTATTAAAATTATTAAAATTCTCCTTCGTCTCCTTGCTCTGTGCTCCTACACAGCAGCAGTACCGTGACAACAAGCGCTATAACAAGTCTCAGTTAGCTTAACACAGTACACATAGCAAGGTTTTTTTTTAAATAATATAATAAATAACAAGAAAACAGATAGAATAGAAAAAAAAATAGAGCAAGCTAGTGTTAGAGGTCTTATTTGCTTTTGTTCATTGTATAATAAATGAAAAGAAAACCGACAGAATACAAAAAGATTAGAAAGCAAGTGTTAGTTTTTTTTTTAAAGAAAACAAGCAGCAAATGAATAGAGTGCAAGTCTAAAAGGGACAAGTGTTTTTTTTTTTTTAAAGAATAGAATTAGAATAGAGAGTGCTAGAGTTAGAGGGTCAAATAAAGATGGAAGAAATGTGTTTTTAGCCGATTCTTGAAGATGGCTAAGGACTCAGCTGCTCGGATTGAGTTGGGCAGGTCATTCC